CCAGTCCTCTTGGTTTCCCTAGACTAATTAAAGATCGTGTATGATTTTGAATATCATCTAACATATTTACTAACTCTGATTTTTTGTGCAATGCCGTTAAATCCACTAAAGATTTAATATGCTCCTGTATTATTAATGGTTTGTGATCAAATCTCTTTTAAGGAGGTCCTTTCGCCACCAATGTTAAAAAAAAGTTATTAGATTATGACTAAAATTAATTTTTTTCTAATAGTTGAAGTCTTTATTTACCTAATAGTGAACTTTTAACTATATCTTACCGTGCACATTTTTGAGAAATATTTTTTTAAAAATGTGGGTATTTGTACACTGTCTTACGAGAAAGTAAGACCTGAACAACAATTCTCGAATTATACTATTATTTATTGATTAGATGGAGTAGAAAAAAACTAAAAATAAGGTTTTTGAAATATTTAGGATTTGTTTTTTACAATAAAATATATAGGTTACCGTGGAATGTATTAAGAAATTAATATTAAAAAAAAATTTCAAGAAACTTAGTTGAAAATTTTTTGTGATTTTTTAATATTAATTTCTCAATATATTCCATGGTAACCTATATATTTTATTGTAAAAAACAAAACCTAAATATTTCAAAACCCTTATTTTTAGTTTTTTTCTACTCCATCTAATCAATAAATAATAGTATACTTAATTACAATTCGAAAATTGTTGTTGAAGTCTTACTTTCTCATAAGACACTGTACAAATACTCACATTTTTAAAATTCTTTTTTCTCAAAAATTTGCACGGTAAGGTATAGTTAAAAGTTCACTATTAGATAAATAAGGACTTCAACTATTAGAAAAAAATTAATTTTAGTCATAATCTAATATTTTTTATTTAACATTGGTGGCGAAACGACCTCCTTAAGTCAAATGCGGTTTTATAATTTTGTCGTTTTTTATCAAAAGAATCTGGAACTTTTTTTGCTGTGCTTTCTAAGCAGCTTAATAAGTAAGTGAATTTTTGGATTTTTAAATGTATCATGAAATTGTATCCATTTTTCGAAATCCCCTTTAATTTCGGTAAACTTAATTTCGGCAATTTAACAAAACTATTTATTTCTGGTTTTGCTCTAGGTACGCCACTGCTACTTGAAAATGTTTGATTGTATGTGAATATGTGCTGTCTGGCCAATGCTACCGCGCTAAAAAAATGTATCCTCAAATCTTTTTCTTATTCGAGAATCTGTAGCCCCGTTTAACTTCTCTACCCTCGACTGTACACCTAGAAACTCATTGTACACAGTATCTATCCTTTCCAAACGCACCTGTAATTCGATTGTTTTCGTGCTGTCGTAGCTATCAACAAAGCTCTTAAATCTGGTTAAATTTTCAAACGTTTCATCTCTTTCCCTCGCTAACCCTACTAATAGTTCCGCTCTCTCTTGTCCCGACATCGTTCTGTATTCGTTGCTTTATGCTTCAATTTACCGATATTATGCAATCGATTGTAATCGATATTTCGATTCCCGTTTTTCGTTACTCTACTCCCTCTAATTTACGACCTGACCTGACCTAACAGCTAACCACGTTTTATTTAAAATATTAAAAAAAACTAAACGATCAAATAAAATACCATGATCACAGTATTTTCCCAAATAAATTGTAGGATATAAAAAGCTTTGATAGGAATAGGAAGGAGACTAACCTTTTTTCTTGTCTAGACTCGTCTGCTACACAGGAACCGGCTTTCTCGTTATATTCACTGGCGCTGGTAATTTTAATTTTGCTCGATGGACCACATGTTTATCTACCGTCTGTAGATGTATTTTTTCTATTGGTTTGGTTATTGTCTTAAATTAAACACTACTTTTTTTTCACTATTGATTTATTAAACGAAACAAACGTTAACATGCCGTGCTTGATCGCTCTCAAGGGCCAGATCCAGATCTCCAATGGCTCTACGATCGATACGGATCGTTTACAAAAAGATCGAGTTGGACGCTACCAAATAAAGTAACTGTTACATGGGCTTGAACCATTCGGTTACGCAACACTCTGGAGCAAAAATATGTACCCTGATTATTAGGGCTTATATTTTCAATTGATTTATTTATTAAATAGCTCACTTATCCCATAATAGAGTTTTTGTCTACATTAGTTTGGGAGTTTTGAATTTTAGTACGGACATAATGACTAAGCCAAAATGTAATAAAATAAGAATGCCTATTTTATTGTATAGGTGTAGTTAAAACTACTTTAAAAATATGTTTCTAACACATCACTTTCCTGTATAGTTATCAAATATATTGAGTCTGTCCCATCTAATCAAAAAGTGTTTAGAATACTAATTAAAGATAAAAATTATTCAAATAATTTTATTATATCACCTTTTCCATTGAAAAACTGAAAAATTAAAATTTTGCTTTTTCCTCAAATTTCTTCATTACAGTCAATTTTAGAGAAATGAAAAAAAAATAGAGAATGTTCTTTAATTATAAATAACAAATATATCATAAAGTAGAAAAACTACCCCCTTTAAAGTATCCCCCAAATGCTCTGACTATGCTCACTGCAGGATGGACTAAGGGTGAGATTACAGAACGTCTGCAACTTTGCAAATCTGCAAATATGGCGGCAACTTTGCAGATCTGCAAATATGGCGGCAACTTTGCAGATCTGCAAACATGGCGGACTTACAGATCTGCAAACATGGCGGACAGATGCAAGTATCAAGTTTTCGTATGCCAAAACATATCTGCAAATTCGCAATATTTATTGTGGTTTATTACCCTCGGCAACATTAAATCCAAATACACCCTTAAGAGGTTAGAACATCCGACAAACTTGCAGATTGTCAATTTTTACTTTACTTTTTTTAATAATTATAAAGTCTTCTGTTCCTTTTGATTAAATACTGTTCATGGTGTCAGATTATCGAGTTTTAAACATAGTAATGGATTTGGGTTTAGTGTTTTAAGTCCGCCTTATTTGCAGATCTGCAAAGTTGCCGCCATTTTTGCAGATCTGCAAAGTTGCCGCCATATTTGGAGATCTGCAAAGTTACAGATTATCTGTAATATCACCCTAAAGCAGCCATACTTAACCTGCGGGCCGCATGCGGCCCTCCAAGCTGTTTTGTGCTACCCTCCAAGGTTTTTTGTGCAGCCCCAAACACTATTATTAGGTTATTAGGAATTGAAATGGTTGACCTACAGTCCTTTTTACTTTCCTATCTGTATACAGATTCCTATCTGTATACAGATATAAGGAAAGTATAGGAATCATGATTTTTTCGACGGCTTTTTACGTTGAAGTCCCCTGAATCTGTTTTGACTATTTTCGCGATGTCTGTGTGCGTGTCTGAATCCACCATAAATCATGAACCGATACAAAGAAAAACCAAATTTTAAACTTAAGCTTTATTCCGGCCTGCGGTGAACTGATTAGATTTTGGGCAGAGTCGGAACATCTGGGGGGGGGGGGGGGGGGACTTTATAGGTGGTCATTTTTATATTTTATGGAATATATCTGTTATTTACGTTTGGAGAAGAAAATAAAAAATACTTCTAATATTATTATCTATAATTTTTTTCTATACAAAATTTTCCTAAAATGGTCCGTATTCGAGAAAATTGACAAAATGTAAAAAAAAATAATTTTTTATAAAAATTGTTCAAATAAAAGTTGTTTGTAATATAATTCTCTATAATTTTTATTCTATACATAATTTCTCGAGATATTTGAGAAAATTGTAAATTTCGAATTTTAAAGAAAACTCAAAAACGGATAAAGAAAAAACATTAAATTTTAAACTTAAGTTTTATTTCTGCCTGACGTGAAATGATTAGATCTTGGACAAAGTCGGAACATCTGGGGGGGAGGGGTACTTTATGGGAGGCTGTTTTTATATTTTATGGAATATATCTGTTATGATTATAAAGAAAATTGTTCAAATAAAAGTTACTTTTAATATTATTATCTATAATTTTTGTTTTATGTGAACATTTCCAGAAATGGTCCGTATTCGAGAAATTTAAAAAAATGTGCAAAATTCTGATTTTTATGAAAATTGTTGAACTAAAAGTTGTTTGCGATATCGATCTCTATAATTTTTGTTTATACACGATTTTTCTAAAATGGACCGTAATGGGAAAATTGTAGGAAAAGTGTTAAATTTAAATTTTTCAGTATTTTCGTTTTCAATGAAAATCTATAGAAAAATGTGGAAAATATATATATTTAGTTTATCCTCTAAACATTTATAGAGGTGCTGCAATAGGTTGTACAAAATAACCAGAAAAGGCCTATAATAACTAGATAGGAAAGTCATGTGTTGGACACATCAGATTTTTTGAAACAAATTGTCCTTGCGACTTTTCAAAGCTTATTAAAACAACTATTTTTTTTTTAGAAAGTATGTAAACTAAAACAATATGAGGACCTTTTTTTGTTTTTAGAAAATATACATTACATTTCAACAAGGTGGCAACTCTAGTTATCAACCAAAAATATTGTGGCCCATGTAGCATAACAAACAGATTTATGTGGCCCGAAAAAAAGGTTGAGTACAGCTAGACTAAAGCCTACTGTGTTTTTCTATATCCATTTTTGAGTTATAGATTTGAAGTATTTTGAAAAATAAAAATGTAATTTTTTTAGTTATCTACGTTTATAATTAACTACTACCCAGCTCTGATAGTTTGCAAAATTTGGGCAATGTGAATATGTATCTGTCTTTTTACTAAAGCAATTTTTTTGTTGCTATCAAAAAAATATGTATTTAATCTCAAATTTTTCTAAGAAATAATGCACTATTTTGTGCTTACCTGTTTTTATTTATTAGGTAAATGTACTAATGTCTAAAGAATGTTATCAATAAATTCAATGAGTCACATTTAACATGATGTTTCCAAATAACTTTCGTTCTTCAGAGAACCGTTGATGAATCTTTTTCTGTCTGATAAACACTGTTAGTGTTGATAACATTTTTAGAGATAATTACAGTTATTAAGTTAGAAATTATATCTATTTTAGGGACTCTTGGACAAATACCTTATACCAAAAGCAAGTAATGCTGAATCAAAAGTGTTCTACCTTAAGATGAAAGGCGATTATTATAGGTACCTTGCAGAAGTTGCCACAGGAGACACAAGGAACAGTAAGTTACTATTTTTTTAAGTTGTGAACTTATTTTTCTGATTAGAAAAAAGTAATTGAATATATTTTATTGTTATTTAAAACTTTACAAAACAATGTTATGTTGTATAAAACTTTTTAATGGTATACAATATACATTTATATATTTTGCATTCATTAATATTTAATTTTTAAGTTTTTGATTTTTAATTCTAGATAAGTAATTGATTTAATAATTCCGTATTTTTTTAATATTTCAATTTATATTAGGTTGTTTTCTTTGCTTTTAAATCTAAGGGTTAGGTATTCTTGCTTAAACTTTGCTTATAAATCAATTCCAGCTGTCGTCGATTATTCACAAAAGGCATACCAAGATGCTTTCGAAATATCAAAGACAAAAATGACCCCCACACACCCTATAAGGTTGGGATTGGCACTTAACTTCTCCGTCTTTTATTACGAGATATTAAATTCACCAGACAAAGCGTGCCAGTTAGCGAAACAGGTTAATATTTTTTTTTCTCTCCACAGCACTGGCAGAATTACACAGGAAGGCAAATGTTCCGGTCTTTCATACATTCTTGTGGGATTTTCGCCTACCAAAACACCAAAAACCCATTTCACATCCTTAATTAAATATATTTCTTCTGAAATGAGAACATTCATTTTTTGGTTGGGATTTAAGTATGAGTCATATGATTCAAGTTACCATTAGTGCTTCTCAAATTTGCTTTGAATTTATTTTATTACATACTATGCAGTGAGGACCCAAAGTTCGTTGCCCCTTTAATTTTTGAATGATTAAAGCTTTTGGCGCGTCTTTGGAATGATTATATTGGAGAAAAATTAATATTTTGAATGAATCGCATATTTATTGATATAAAAAAAAACTGAGGAAAATATTAGGTGTAACGCAATGTAAGTTGAAAACACAACAGGTCGTCACGTGAATATGAGTAATTAAAGTGTCATAATCAGAAGTTGATTTAAAAACATTCGATAAGCATTTCCAAAAAAATACGTTTTTCTCGATAGTGATAGCTTTCGGCCGTCATTTTCATGTAAAAAATAGTTATTTTAAACTAGTGTATACACCCAAATACACAACAAAAGATTTAGCCATTCAAAAGTGCGGGAGTGCACTGTGGTCTGATATAAAATTTTAGAACACTGCTTTTTCATAATTACATGAACAATTTACAATAGAACACCGATACGTTAAATTAATGATGATGTAATTTTGGTTCCATTGACCATTACAGTGGCAGTAGACTTGTGTATTTTTTTTTAGTGCATTTTGTCTGCCTAAATTATTTAATTTTTAAATATATTCGGACAGTAAGTAGATAATATGCATCAGGTATTCAAACATTAAAAATAATTTGGTTACATACCTTTAAACTACTTTTTATGACCTGTAAACAATATAACGGTATAACTTTATAAATATATCAAATTCAATGATGGTTAACAATTAACTGTTAGTGGAATCAAAATTATATATCGCAATATGGCGTATAGAGAAAGAGCACCTTATTTTTGTTTAGTTAGTTCATGGATAAATACAATATTTGCATTTTAGAGGATTGTATTGCTGTTCATATTTTTAAATCAGGCTTGGCTGTAAAAGTTAAATGTCTCGTTTGGATAAGATTGATGTCAAAAGCCCAGGGGCCCAATTCCTGACGCCTTCGTTAACTTATCGCATGCGATAACGTATGCGACTTGATGAAAGTGTATTCCTGAACTGGCGGCATTCGTCAAATTTATTAACGTATGCGCTAAGAAATGATGATTTTCAAAGAGCGCTCATGACCGTTCGACAACTACTTTGTCGCATTCGTTTAGGTGAAAGTAAGGTTATAATTGTCAATTAATCCTGCTTTATCATATGTGATTCGTGTTTCTATCTATTGGTTTTGTTTTGTGATTTATTATTGGGAAATATTTATTTTTAATTTGACTATTGAACATTTTATTAGAATATAAAAATGAAACTTTTTGTACCGTGAACTCTTTTATTGGACGTTTAGGTGCCACTTTATTTTGGTTTATTTTATTTAGTATGGATGATATAGAAGAAATATGAGTTTTACAGGCACTAAACAATGTTATAAATTCTACTAAAGTTTCACGCAATTTTTCCGTTATTCGTGAACCACGCTGTTCCATTTTTAATATTCTAAATCCAAACCACTCCAATTCTCAAGTCCAAAATACAAATAATCACAGTTAAAACGTCCAAAAATTATTAGACATCCAATCCATTTAATTTTATAATTTTTGGCAATTTTGACATGTGTCAATGCAATTATCTCATATTCAGTGATACCATCTTTGGTATTCTCAATCCTCATTGGTTAAAGCTATGCAATAATCAAAGACTCTTCGTTAACACGTTCGACTTGATTCGCGATTATCGCATGGTGTTCAGGAATACTAAATTGCTGTCGTATGCGTTAACGACCATGCGTTACTTAGCGCCCCAGGTGATAGCTACGTCATATTTTTTTTGTATTGCATGCGGCTGACGAAAAATTTTCTTGTCCCCACTTTTTAACATTTCTCTACGTTTCAAATCACTCCAAGGCCGAAAATGAAGAAACAAATTTTTCCTATGTGTGCCAGCACAATAATTAGCGATAACGACTTTTTTTATATAATTTCTTAAAGCCAAGAACCCTATTGATTTTCAGAATTTTCGGTTCAACTTTAGTGCTTTAAATATCAGTATTTTAAAATGCAATGAATTTTTTATGAGCTTATTTCATTTATTCATTCATTTATTTCAAAATCGTGACTGGATGTCACGATTTTAATAGTTTGATATTTCAACTCTGAAATAAGACGTTTATTTCTAAATTGCTGTCATTCTTAAACGTCAAATTATTTAAAGTGTTTTAAAAGGATTTTCTTTTAATTGAATTTAATGTACACAATCTTGAAGTAACAATGATTTTTGCACTAGCTTTAACAAATAGAGCTATTAACTGAATTTGATATTAGAATCAAAAAGGTAAAGAGTGAGTTTAAACGGTCAAATACTACTGCATGGGCAGACGTACTGCGTAAATAGACCAAATATTTTTACTTTGAACAGGCTTAAGGTGCAAAGGGTTTAATATTTTTAAATGAACAGGTTTTTAAGGGTAAATTGCTTAAATATTTTTACTTGTAGATACAGACGTACCTGGTATAGGGCAAATTCTTTTTACATGAGCAGGCTTAAGGGAAAAGGGGTCCAAATATGTTTACATGGGCAGGCTCAATGGGTAAAGGGCTCAAATATTTTTACAAATTCTAATCAAAAGGCTACATGAAATGGTTTTTAAAAGCAGTGTGAAGATTCTCTATATGGTTTAGCCTAAGTAATGTCAATGCTTCGCAAATGTGATCATTCAACGTCTCAATACTTTTGTTTTCAGTCTCATTCAAAATGAATTCGTTTCTTTTATGCTATGAGTTTGCTAGTGGATAAAATGGGGACCATAAATTTAGCGTCTCTCGAATTACATTACTTACCATTCTTAAAAAAGTAAATTTTTGTCATGAGTTGGCAGTGGAACAAATCACTCATATCTGACAAATTGATGATCGTTTAGATTTCATTCTTTCATGTCTTTCATATCTTTGTTAGTCATTACGAACTCTAGATAATTTTCTTTTGGACGCATTTATTTTTTTACCACTTATAATGTTTAAAAGAGTTAAGGTTTAACAAATTGTAATGGGTAATAGCTGAAATAAAAATTAATAAATAAGTGTTATAAAGCATTAGTCAAAATGTACAAATAGGTATAAATTTGTTATTTATGACTGGTTTGTTTGAACATTATATTAACATGGTATTTAACAAAATTTCAAGGATCATAAATAAGCTTTTTGATTGTAACTACATATTTTTATGAATAGAGAAATATGACAACGTTGAAATCGTGCTGTTTATAATTATTTCAGTTTATTTACATTTTGCATTTTAGTTTGTTTTTCGTATTTTATAAATAGTGTTTATTTAAGTAAATAATAAACTTGATTTTTTTTCTATCCAACGCATAAATGGATGTTTTTGGTAAGTTTTAATCATTATTTGACCAGGAGTAACAAAATAATCAAATTTACTTTTTATTTAGAAAATTAAGATTTCTTTCCACAACAATAATTTTCCTTTGGTACCAATGTTCTGGGTAATTATCAGACGTACTTACTATTGTTTCATGTGGTGCAGTATTACAAGATTTACTTTACAAATTTCATCAGATGTATTGCTTACTTACGCCATGTTCGACCTTGTAGGTGTTAACATTCCTCGCTGTCGGCTTGCATGTTATCTGTCTTAAAAGGGATCATTGGAGAAGTGGTGTTACTTTTTGGTAACAATTTTCTAGGAAAAAATCCGAAAAAGTCATTAATGTCAAATAATTTTTTTCTTTTAAGTTGATAAAATTGTTCATATTGATAACCCTGCATAGAACTATCATTATGTTCATATTATAACTAAATAGTCGAAATAACAAGAGAGGACAGTCAAAGTGAGAAATTTAAATTAATGTAGATAGCACTACATTCCAAATAAGGGGAGCCCATAGGCGGTGGCTGAGTATTTAAGTAGTCTGTTGACAGTGATTGGGCCTGTGTTATTTTATTTGTTTAGTGCTAGACTTATTTTTATTAATAAAATCGAAAAATTTGATATTAAACGAATGGAATGTGATATTTATAAAAAGTTTATATGTTCGTGGTGTTATCAATTCATCAACATTCCAGATAACATAAAATTTATAGAAATATTTCATTCAAGCAGAGTCGTGTTGTTTCACTCGCTTCAGAGATGTATAGTACTAAACATTTTGTAATATCAATTTAAAAGAATTATAAATAATATGGTTAGTACTACGATGTTCTATTTATTTGTTTAGATTGAACAAGATAATAATAAAAGTCGCCTTTTTTTTTTTGTTTTTTTCATATACATTTTTTAATTTTGATTCATGAAGAAAAATTAATATATAACTACTATTCTGAGTAGAGGGCTCACGTAAAGTACTATTAAAATTCTGCTCTTGAAAATTGCTATTTTCTTTTAATAATTTGCTAATGTTGGGGCTTAACTATTTGCGACGTTGCCAGCTTTATTTAAAAATCCTACACCCATGTTATAAAAGTATTTTGCTAGTTTACTCCTTTTGTTAAACCTTAACAATAATTTAAAGTATATTTACAGCAAAAATTAATCAGTTAATAGAAATTTGTATTTACCCACAATCATGTAGATAAGTTTTATACCTGCAATCATTGCAGTAAATTATAAAAATTTACATAAATTATAAGTAATAAGTGAAACGTGTCGAAACATTCATAGCCAAGCCTGATTTAAATTAAAAGTGTGAACAGTATAGTGTTTTTAGCTTTTCATTATTAATCTCATTGAAGACAATATGTTAAAGAAATATGAAATACGACAATATGTAATGTGATTTTTAAAAAATCTATAATAATAGAACCTATTGACTTCAATGTTCTGTGATTTATTTTTGCTGCGTACATCATACAGTATCTGTTACCTCACAACAATGGGTTACAAAATAATCCCAATTTATATCTTTAATATTGACGACTGTGGAGTTTTTTTTGGTATTTTGAGGGTGACAAATCTTAAAAAACAAAATACAGAGAGTTGTGGGTATTGAATAATTTGAGTTTTTCTTGTATAGAAGTGGTAGAAGATTCTCAAAAGGCATATCAGGAAGCATTTGACATAGCAAAATCGAAAATGCAGTCAACTCATCCTATTAGGCTAGGTCTTGCCTTAAATTTCTCTGTGTTTTATTACGAAATTATAAATTCCCCAGCCAGAGCGTGTCACTTAGCTAAACAGGTTATTATTATTTTTTTATCTAGTTTGTGTGAATTTTATTTGCGACTATTAACATTGCCCATGTGTGATGTAATTCTGCCTGTTTACTAACTAAATAGTAAAAAATAGTTAGCTAACTTGAAAAAAGTTAACCCACAAACATAAATTAGTTCATTTTTAATATAATTCACCCATTTTGATTACATCTTTGGCTTTAATACTTCTAACTATGTTATTTATCATTTTATTAAGAATTTCAGGTAGAATATAGGTGTTTTTTTTTTAATATATACTCATTAGATTCTGGATCATTTTGGGATATAAAATTTTGGATCTTTGCCAAATTTGTAACACATTGGGAGAGTTGCAGTTTAATGTACTGTAATTTTTGTGTCATTAAAATATTTGTGCTTTTGGGTTTGCTTATTTCACTCGCAGGGTTCAGACAGACCTGGATAACCCGACCCCTAATAATGATTTTTGGGTCGTTAAATAACTTGATTTCATTTAGAACATTAGGGACATCAATTTTGTCTGAATCCTGTTTTGGAAATTTTGTTGTTCGTGGTGTATACTGAAATTTATTTCATAGGCTTTTGATGATGCCATCGCGGAACTGGACACATTAAACGAAGATTCATATAAGGACAGTACCCTTATTATGCAGCTACTCCGAGATAACCTTACACTTTGGACGAGTGACACGCAGGTATGTACATCTTAAATGATACGTTTTGATCTTTAAAATTAATTCAGTAATAAATCACTGCCAGCTACAAACAAAACTATAAATGCAATAATGTTTGTTTTTATTTATTTTTGTCTCTGAATAATCTCAAAAATGTTGATGTTACTTGAAGATGTTCCCAGTATTTTAAATTATTTGAAAGTAATATAAATATCAAAAATCGACTTTTCTCTGGAATTTCCACCAAAATTGTTTTGTTTAGCTAAAAATTATTTTTTGATCACTTGAAACCAATTTAAACAAATTTTTGATACATTTTTAAAATTATTTAAAAAAATTAACTATCGATATTGTCATTTACACTCAAACATGGTTCATCACTTTGTATATTAAATTAATATTTGAAAATTAAGTAAATTAAAAACGAATAAACCTGTTTGGAATTTAATTAAAATTGTTTTGTTTATAGCTAAAAATTAATTTAACAGGTACCAATTTAAACAAACATTTTTTATTAAAATCAAGTAAATTAAACAAAGAAATCGATTCATAAAACTTGATTTGTTTATCTGAAAATAAATGTATACCTGTTACTTTACTGACTCGATGTATTTTAGTTCATAGATGATTGTGAGGGCGGATTTGAAGTTGTTGTTATTGTTTCAGGGTGAAGCGGACGAGCCTCAGGAATCTGGTGATAATTGAAGTGTGGCGCGTCCTGTCCTTTTTTAAAATTATTCGTTAAAAATGAAATTTCATGTAAGTTAACGTATTCGTGGAACTTGGTTGTGAAGTTTCATTGACAGTTTTAAGTTTCACTTGATGAAACTTTTGATATTTAAAAATGTTTTTAGGAGATATGTAAATCGTTAAATTATTCCACATTATCACACAACCAGCATAATTTTTTGTTCGCAACAAGTAATTTAAGCCATATACAAAAAACAGACGTATGCAATTGTATAGCAGAGACAGAAGTTGGAAAGGCTTTTCGCAGTTCTCCCACTTTACACAGGATTTGACAGTTTTGCCGCGGAACTAACGAAGTGAACGCGAAACATTGGCGTAGAAAATTATTTTATAGGTGCTAATAACAATTTCGCGTAAATAGTTTATGATTTTAGATATTATTACTTGTTTAAATAATTATTTCTAGCCGATAAATAGATTGCCAGATTCTGCCGGTAATTTAAAATGTTCGTTATTATTTTTATTCTACGTTACGAATAAACATTACCGCGATATTTTCGAAGTCGTCCGAAAGGGTTTGACCTGCCAAAAACCTTTCCAACTTCTGTCCCTGCTCTATATTTTATTTATTTTTAACATATATGATTACATATTAGATTGCTGAATGTTGTGTGATTAAATGTCAATTCTTCTGCAACAAGTTTGTTTTTTATATTAAAAAAAAGGTTTTTATTTTTTTTATATATTATATCTCCTTCCAGATTGTGAAAATTTATTTGAAATTTCAGCACTTTTTAAGTTCTAACTTGTTAACTATTAAAATTATTATTTAATAACATTGTTTTAGTTTATCTTTTTTTATTTTGTATTTTTCCATTGTTGAACTTCTCCAGAAAAATTACCTCTTACCTCTTTACTTTCAAAGTCATTTTTGAACATTTAGTCTACCAAATTCATTTTTGCACACCACTGCATGGGCCAAAAACCTGCCCCTTCTTCCCCAAAAATCCCTATGTTTACCGTAAAAACACTCACTTTGGATGTGCTATATATAAATGTATGAATATGTATTAAAAATAAACTGCTATCAAAAGCTCTATTTGTTTTCTGTTGTATCTGTCAAGTATAATTGTCAGATATCAATAAATTTTTCGAAATCCTCTATAGTTTTAATCTCTACCTTTTATCACTGTCTATTAACTCTATTTACGAATGTTTACATATTTTTTTTTTTTTTTCATTTTTGGTGTAGCAGTTTTAAGAATACATTTTTTTACAGGCCAATACAATAGAGTATTTTTTCTTCTTCAGATTAGCGTTTAAAATTATTAGATACAATGAGCTGAATCTGAAAAAAAAGCTTCTATTTTTATTGATAAAAAAACTATATTTCTATCTTAAATGGGATTCGATTAAAACCCAAAAAATCGAAATACACTTCTGCAAATGCGATGAAAACATCCTAGTTTTACCTGTTCACTACCATCCACATTACACAAAATCGCTACAGTCAAATAAAATCAATATTTTTTTATGCAAGATATTTTTATTTTAATTAACTGATCCAAGTATAGGTAAGTAGTGAAATAAGCGGTAAGTACATATTTAAATAAAACATTTCTAATGTTTACTTCTTTGGTTGTGCGCTTTTTCAAATCTTAAGAGAAAATTTTTAATCTATTGCTAAACTTTATATTAAGATTTAAATTATTTAAGTTATTTGCAGCAGTGTGATTTGATAATGGTTTTCAAATATTTTATGTAGGAATTGAGTTGCCAGTTTTATTTATTTTACAAGTACAGGGTAGTCGCACTTTTTAATTGAAATTTATTGCTATCTCAAAAATTTTGGTACCTACATGTTAATTTTAAACTTTTAAACATTATAATTTCAAAAAGTATTTGAAAAACGTTTTAAACTCTAATGCGTAAAGTACATAAAAATGTTGATTAGTGTTGACAACTAAATATTGGGATTGCAAGAAATGTTTAATTCTCAATACTCATTTTTGGGCTGGCGAAAATTTTCTTTTTTATTCAACATTAATTTAAAATAAACGTGTGGGCAGAAAACATTCTTGTGAACTTTACATGTTTTCTGGATCATTAAGTGGAACTATATATTATATTTTGGGGGAAGATTTATTTGTCATAGGAGGCGTACCATTGAATAAAAACCAGACTAATAATGTTTGGTATCGCCACCACATTTAGCCAGACTACCAAAGCAGGGCTAAGTAACTATTTTCCCAATTGGTCAAGGTATCCAAGCACCGATCTATTGGCCATCTTGATGTTTAGGGGATATTTAAAATCTAACGCAAACTTAATATTGAACTAAGACGAGTAATTACAAATTAATTAATTGAGCTCCAAAACACTCCTCAATTCCTAACTTAAAAAGAATTTCGACTATATTTTCATTAAATTAAAAATAAAAATGTTCAATAATTATTATAAATTTAATTTTTATTACTGCTTACTAGACATGGTCGATATTTATCGCTTGCATTCTCAGAAATCGAACATAACCATCCTTGAACTCGAATTCCACGGAAATTAATGACTAATTTTTGAATAATTCATTAAGAGTACCTTTTTTCAAGGAAAAACTTTAAATAACAGTATTTTAATATGTATATTTTAAAAAACTAACAAAACAAATTATCTAAAAAGGGTAACTTTAATGTTATCTAAGATTTTGAATTTGATATTCTTGAAAAACTAGTCTTTAAGCCGTTTCTAAAGGTTGGTGTTCCCTTAAGCGGTTCTGAACATATGTCTATAAGAAAAAGTATGTCTTTTGGTGTTCTACCATCCCTAGAAGTATTGTTAGATATTTTTGGCCCACTCTGTATATATTGTGTGCCATAAAGTTGGAACCATATGGAAATTTTTTTTAATATTAGAAAAACGTAGGTCAATCACCTCCACTTATTTAAAAACTTGAAATAGCCCACATCAAAGTTGGCTACTGACATTATTTTTGCATCAAACACGCATCAAAAAAAATTTTTGGAATATTTTTCAAAAAAAAAATACCGAATTTGACAGAAAACCAAAGTCAAACCTAGTCAACTTTAATACGGGCTATTTTACGTTTTAAAAAAGCAGAGGTGAATGCCCTACTGTCTTTTCCAGTCGTAATATTAAAAAAAAAATTTTATATATGGATCCAACTTTATGGAACACTGTGTATTACTTTAAAATTACGACACGTGATTGTTCTTTTATAAAAGTATGCAAGGTAAACGTTTTTCAATTAAAATTTTAGACATAATTTTCCGAATGACGTTTAAAAAACGGAAAAGATGTCAATGAATGCCTGTAAAATGGAAATTTCATACAATTTGATTGCATTTATCTTTTAATTTTTTATGTAATTGCAGTGTATTTCATCTCAACATTTAACAAAATGTAGGTCAATAGTAATACAGTCGACACCTACGACATATTTTCCAAAGTGAAAATAATATCGATGACACTATTATTAATATATCTTAATTTGTATAAATAATTAACATTGTAGGTGTTAATGTGACTATTTAGTAACATTTAATTGCGCAATAATAAATTGTTAGCTAAAATAGAAGCAATACACGCTTAATTCGTGGAAAAACATTTTTAATACCTACATTCTTTACATACTAATATATAAAGGCACATTTTTTTATGTTTCGATGTTTAGTTTAAAGGTTAATGTAATAACGGCCTTGATATCGCCATTTATTATTTTAGAAACGTAAATTCCTTTTGCCAAATTCTCTTGGAACATGTTCAAAAAATTAAATGAAGAGTAAAAAAAAGAATATATTTATAAACATTGTTAGGAACGGTTTCTAACGCTTTTTTTTAGATCATACTCATTCAGGATTCACTTTACTGGGGTATAGGACAGTTTTAAGTATTTCTGTGAATCAAGTCGTTTAAAATAAACAATTTTTTATTTGATATTTCTTGGAAAGTTGGTTTCCAAACGTGCCAATAAAGATCATATTATAAACCATGCTTGGCTGAGCGTTTCCTTGAAAATATCCGAGTCATATATCACGGGAATTTAGAGGCAACGATATAGATAATCCGATGCACTTCTACATATTCTCTCAATTTAGCCTATTCTTGTGTAAATTGAAATATTTTTTGGACTAACCATATTGGTTTATAATTTTTACATAGTGTCTGATCCCGTTTCTTGTATATTGATAATATTAAGTTGTTTTCCCGATCTTTTAGGATTTTGTGTTATTCCCATGAATGCTTATACTTCACAACCATCTCTTTTTCTTTTTATCTTAGCCATTTAATCATCTTTGGAGCTATGCTATGCCATGCCGTCTTCACCACTTGCTTTTCTGTTAGGATTTTTTGAGGTTGATGTTCATTTAATTCTCAGTTTCCATTTGATAATTACTTAATCGGTGAAATTTTTTTCATAGTGTTCTTTTCAGGTTTTTTATTATTTGTATTCCTTCTGTTTCCAGTTTATTTTAATTTTTTATGGCTCATTTCTTTTCTTCTGGTTCCTCGTAATCTTTTTTATCCTTGTCCATAATTTCTGTCGTTTATTCTCATTCAAAATCTCCAGGATTTGTTTTTTCTTTTTTAACTATTTACCTCTTTATCTTCTGGTGTTTTTGTAGATACGTTATTCATTCATTTTTCTTTTACTAATAATTTTATTTCTTTTTACATGTTTATTAAATTTAGTTATTCCACATATCTGTACTTTTTTATATCTTTGAAGACTTTTTCCATCGTTTTACAAGTGGCCACTCAGTTTTCATTTTCAAGTCGTCCGAATTCTTTGTCCGTCTGTTCAAATACGGGATGCTCGACATCTAAGGTAAATAATAAATTTTAGACCAAAAACTTATAGTTTAGTAAAAACCAAGGGCCTTAAAAGCTGCTTAACTCTCTGATTCTCTTGTACACGTAATTTAAATCCATGGATTTCAATGAAATACAGTGGAATTTGTTTTATTATTATATTACATTTATGTTTATTACATCCATATTCCTATTTTTTACATATTAGTAAAATCTTTGAGGTAAATTTCAACCCCCCTTAACCATCCTCGAAAGTAAACCTATGATACTATTTACAGACTACTCTGTGTGTAGAGTATGTTGGTAAATATGTCAATATTCTAATAGTAATATTTTTTAATAGGTATAGCTCCCGTGTAAGTTACCACCCCAGTATACCTACCCTAGAAGAAATAATGACAAATCCCGTTTTCCTTGAAAATGCCCGTCTCAGATACTCGCCAAAGCATATAAAGAAATATTCCTGAGAAATATTGAAAATGATTTTCTATTCTATCATAAGAAGGGAATACTCTTTTTAATACAATGGTAAGTTTTATTCAATACCTACTTTAAAATCTATAAATTTTATGAAGTATTTGGAAACTAAAGATTGGTGTTATTTTAAAATTATTACTTAAGTGTTACTTAATAAAAATATCGCTTCTGTATGTTTTTAATATTAGCATTTCTCAATTACAACGCAAACAATGACGTAACAGATTAATACATGCAAATATTGTTTTTTTTTTCTTCTAAATAAAATCAATAAAAGTTCCTAATAGATAAAATAATCTTTCGAAATTGACTGATAAGTAATTTTTACACATGTTAAGGTCTGCTGATGAATTAATTTCAAGTGAGTGAAATATGTAACAAATCAACACTAAGCAAACTATTATCTGTTATCGGACAATGCTCTGATTTAAGTTTGGAAAAAAGTTCTTTTTCGACAGTTTGCCACTTTTTGGACCCCCATTGCCTCATAGAAAACTGAATTTATATACTATTTAGCATATTTTTAAAGGACAAAAAATTTCCGTCCGTAGTTTTCGACACTCATGTGTGAAAAAGTCCGATTTTTTTTATCCATTTTCTTATTTATTTGTAGAAAATAATTCGAATTATGAAAAGTGCTTCCGAGGACCACAGATTTAATTTTTATCTAAAAAGTCAAAAATAAACCAAAAGTGGTGTGTACTATATGAAACACTGGAAGAATTTTCGACTGGAGCGCGTTTAAGAAATTAATTGTGAATTAAAACAATTTGTAATCTTTTACTAATGTTTTACGAGGGATAAATAAATTTTACGTATTTTAACAATTTATTTATTTTTTAATAATGTAATAAGATAGACATTTAGTATGCAAGGGTTAATAATACA